CGAGCCAGTGCTGAAGCTGCTGCTTGAGCATGGTGCTGATCCAGGAGACAATGGTGGCAGAGCTCTGAAGCTTGCTGCTGGAAGGGGAGACGAGGCAGTACTGAAGCTGCTGCTTGAGCATGGTGCTGATCCACGGGCCGCAGACAATGATGGCTGGACAGCTTCGATGGCAGCTGCTGAACATGGACACGAGCCAATGCTGAAGCTGCTACTTGAGCATGGTGCTGATCCACGGGCCGCAATGCATGATGGCAGGACAGCTCTGATGTTTGCTGCTGCAGAATTACATGAGCCAGTGCTGAAGATGCTGCTTGAGCATAGTGCTGATCCAGGGGTCGCAGACAATTATGGCTGGACAGCTCTGATGCCTGCTGCTTTATGGGGACACGAGCCAATGCTGAAGCTGCTACTTGAGCATGGTGCTGATCCACAGGCCGCAGAGAATCATGGCAGGACAGCTCTGATGCTTGCTGCTGAGAGTGGACGCGAGTCAGCGGTGAAGCTGCTGCTTGAGCATGGTGCTGATCCAGGAGTCGCAGACAATGATGGCTGGACAGCTCTGATGCTTGCTGCTGCATATGGACACGAGCCAGTGCGGAAGCTGCTGCTTCAGCATGGAGCTGATCCAGGAACAATGACGCAAGCACGCGCGTCAGTTGTGCCCCTGGGAATGATGCTGGACAGCCCTGATGAAAGCTGCTGAAAATGGACACGAGTTGATACAGCCTTGACGCTTGCTTTGGGTGATGGCCGTTTCTTCTTCTTTGTAATGTTGTTGCCAACTAGCTGCTAGTATAGAGCAGGTGCTGGCTTCACAAAACTTTGCAGCACCAGCTTGCGGCGGTCTAGGTTCTGGGTCTCCAAAGATTAGTAACGCCGGAATTCCGGTGACTTGATCCAGCTGCCGGTCATGTTTCAATGCAAACGTGTAAGTATTGTGTCTCTTCTGAGGACTTCTTGTTGTTCTCCGTCACATCATGTTTCACGGAAACTGTTTTGGCCGATAGCTGGTGGCCTCTATACCGGTATACTGTTTTGTGCCTTTGCAGCTGTTGCCCTTGGAAAACTTCACGACCGCTCGGCAAGCGGTTGCTGTGCGCGAGGCCCACGGTCCAGCACGCCTGACGGAGCACGGTGCAGAGCTCTTCTGGGACACTCGCGCTGTCATTCATCGCTGTTCATCGCATGTTAAAACATGTTAAGCTGTTGGTGTGATTCTGCAGATGCCTGCGGGTGTTGCAGGTGTGGTGCGGTTCTTATAGAGTTGCCAAGGTTGTTCACTGCTGACATGTCAGGCAAAAACTGAGGCTTCAGACAAACCCAGTGAGTATACACGTCAAATTCCGGGGCACTCCACCCCCCAAAAAAAAGAAAGCACAACCCTCCGGACGACCTGGGCACCGAACTCCGTGGACCGTTTGTGGAACTATACTTGTTACACGAGTCGAATGAATCGATGAGCAGAACTTCTGGGCCATCGATGAACCGAATGTTCTTCGCCACGAAGATCGCGTCACGACGACGTTCTTTTCCGATGGAGACGCCACGAACCATCGCAGGATCGTTCTATGGTTCTTTTTGCCTTGTTCTTGTTTTTCCGGGGCATATATGTTTTGATTATTGAGGTGACGGAACTGTTGGAAAAAGAAGTTGGGCTATTGTCTAAAGCACCAGAGTATGGTGGAAACAAGCTTCATATGGGGCATGAGGTAGGAATAATGGTTGTTTTCTCCAATCACTTTCAACATCGATCCTGAAAGTCATTCTGGGTGGTGGCCTTCCTGCAAAAAAAACGAATGTGTATTTGTGCGGGTGATTTTAGCATATGTTGTCCCAGGCTCGGTGAACTCCCCCCTTCCTGGGAGCCGGCTGGGAGCGGAGCGTGGGCACGGTGTCACTGCTGTCGCCGGTGAGGCCAACAGTCCCGTGGACGTGCCACGGTTGGATGACGAGGCAGGGCTGAGCGCGGCAGGGCGTGCGTCACGGAGCGCGGCGTGACGCACGCGGAAACCCGTGACGTCACGGTTTTTGCAGCAAGAAGATTCCATGAATCGACGGAGACGTCACGGTGTTTCCCAAGTGTTTTTCTTGTTCAAGTCTGTTTAACACTTGCATCGCTTGTCGAGTGACTCCATCAGTTTTTGTGCTCCAGCATTTCCAGCATCCAGTTTGTTCCGACTCCGCCAAAAGTGCGGAGATTTTGGGTGCGACATTCCGCGCGACTTGTGCTGCTGACAGCGCCGCCATGGGTTGCGCCTGCAGCAAGCAGCAGGCATCGCAGCCGCAGCATGTTCAGCGGCCTGCCGTGCAGGTTGCTCGCTTCAAGCAGGGGGGAGTTTCTTCTTATACTGCCTATACTGTCATAGTTGCTAGATAAGGCTGGTGAACTGGGTGACCTTCAAAATCCTTCAAGCATGGATGTTTGAGACCAAGATTGAACAGGACGCACCCACCCAGAATTGCTAGGCGGCGCCGGCTAGACCTTGGAATCATGTTGACTCTTCGTGTTGGTTCCGAGGCCTCTCAGGACTCCGATTTTCCGCGCCTCCTGGGCGCCAATGGAGCAGGAGCTGGTGCAGGCTCCATTCCCACTTTGAGATGTTGAAAAACCCTGTGAAACCATAAGCAGATATCTCATATCTCAACTGTCACAAGGTTCCTTTGGCTTTGAGGAAAATGAAGCCAAAGTCCCGAATCTCTCAAGAACTTCTATCATAACAAGTTAATTTCATTGGAGCCAGAATGAAGCAACGACTGTATCTCCAGGCGCTATGTGTGGAGAGGAAAGTGCAAAGCATGCAGCTGGAGCCAGCAGTTCTTGCCAGCAGGCAGCTACTGAAGGCACGGCTGACTCTTTGCATGTTGCATACTTTGGCGTTCCAGATTGAACTCCAAAACGTATGAAGAGTTTAGCGAATTTCACTTTCGCTCGAACAAGATTGTCAAGCTTATCCATGCCAAGATCCAGGTTCAGCTGTTCCGTCACTCTCAAAACATGCTGTTTTGCCGCACTGTGTTCTTCTAGCGGATAGTTCCATTCCCCACCGCCAACACGAGAAACGGAACCCCTGTCGTTGACCGCATGTTTGCTGTGACGACGCATATCTGTCGTAGGCGACATCAGTCAGCAGCCTGGCAATTCATCGGAAGTCCGGCCAGAGCAGCAGGCTCTCCGCGTCGCGCGGATGCAAGAGAGATGAATTGTATATACAGTAGCAAGAGTCCTTGGGCTGCTGGGCGAGGGTCAAGATGAACAGAAAAGTGACATCAAGGAAGTGAGCAAAACAGTTCATGCACTTTGACAGATAATCAACAAGTTTCATTGTTCTGCCAGTATAATGCAATCTCCAAACAAAAGTTGGCTTTGCACTTGACATGGTCCGCTTTGGTTTCCCCAGGATGTAATGGTGTCATTGGAGGATGAAGAGTTTGGCGTGACGAATTCCTCCTGGCTCTGTTGCGCTGAGCGAACACCTTGGGAAGCGGAATTGCTGCAGGTGCGGCATGCGGCAAGCGAGAACAAGTCGTAGCAGTTCAGGTGATGTTTCACATGTTTGCCAAAGCTTTCCATCTAATCAAGGCCTCTTTGGCAGCTATATGATTAGGCATTCTGGCGTGAACTCACTCCCTGTGGGAAACCCCATTCAATCACACCCAAGACTGTTCTGAACCTTTCTGAACTTCTCTTATAGTCATCAGTATGTAATCCATCCCAAAAGGTCGACCGAAGCCAGAAAGCTGAAGCTCAAAACAGGTCTCCGCCGAGTTGAAGGACAAGCTCCAAGATCCACACTTCGTGGCCATGCGCTGCGACCTCGACAGCTCCGGCGATTTGGACGCGCATGAGCTGAAGCTGCTTGGGCGACAGATGTCCGACACGACACATGGGACTGTCATATATAGTTGACCCCTCAAACCATCCCGATGTAGGTTACATATACCAGTCCCATTTGTCGTGTCTGGGATAGTATTCACTTTCCCTGAAATGCGATGAAAGTCGTCAATTCTTGACGTCGTGACGTCAATTATTCAGAACAGACAGTTGGCGGGTGCCACTCTGGAATTCCAATATGTTCACATATGAAGTCGAAACTGTGTTGATCATGGAGGCCGATATATCCCTGCTTAACCCTAAGGTCACTCTCCAACGTTCATATTTAAATCTTGTGATCGATCATTGGTCTAATAAGAATAATAACAAGAAGGACAAGGAGTGAGTTCTACCATTGTTCCGTTTTGCCCCGTGCGTCCACCACTCTGGGCCATCCGAGGCAAGCGGCCAGAGTCTTCGGCATGCGGCCATCTGAGGAAGAACTTCAACAGCTCATGGCCAACCAGCCACGAATCAACAAGGCAAGGCCGTGGCGGCTGCTGAGACGAGAAAACATGGGAATTTTGTTGAGAAAACCATGTCATGTCCCATGTCATTTCCCATGTTGTGTTGGATCGGTGACGGAATTTCTTTGGGGACCATTTTTTTGTACCCAAAACAAACACTTCCAAGACAGGCACTGTGTGCTGTGTGTGCTGTGCTTCTTCCTTTCGGAGTTTGGAACGAACTGGGAGCCGAAGATCCCCCGACAGGAGCGCTTCGCCGAGATCGTCCGAGACTTTCAACAGCGATCCGGATCAGCCAAGTCGCAGAGAAACTTGACCTGTGCACAGAGCTTGGCCGCGTCCGGGTTCAGGTGATCGTACTGAACATACTGACTGCATGGTGAGTGTTTTATTGATTAACGTAGTCACGAAAGCTAGCACCAGCTAGCTGGAGTTGTCCTTGCTTTAGCAAGTGAGGGGCTGGAATCCTCGGGATCGCCGCATCACGTGAAAACTTCATATGTAGGGGGGGCCCCCCCCCCCCGTGGGTTCAACTCCTCCCTCGGACGCCTCTGGGACACCCCTCGGGCATCTCTTATGGCATCCACTTTGGCTTAACTCCTCCGGGATACGGTGCAACAGATTCAACAAGCTCACATGTTCATGACATCGACATCGATAGAAGAAACCAAACAAATCATGCAAGCAGCTTTGTTTTGCCTCTGGGACACCTCTTGGGTACCTCTTATGGCATCCACACTGGTTCAACTCCTCCGTGGAGGTTTTGGGATACGGTGCAACAGATTCAACAAGCTCACAGGTTCGTGAACACATCGGATGCATCGAACAGTGTGGCAAAGTCCAGCCACGCTTCCTTAATTATCGGGACTTCAATTCTAAGGTTGGCTGTGTCATTGCTGTTTGTGTGTCTTACATGTTCACAACGTTTTACCTCATGAGCATTTGCCTCACTCCGCTTGATGTCCCACCAGTCCGGATGCACCCCTGCTAGCTTTCGTCACCTACCCTCGGCCTCAAGTAATTATATACAGTGAAGTTCATTGAAGCACCACTATATGTCTTCATTGGCGTGGCCTCAAGAGTCAAGAGGCCAAACAACCTTCAATAAGTAGTTTCAGCCATGTGTTGATGGAGTTCGTTGACAGGATGAGAGACTTCATCGAAAATTCTCAATGCACCGTGCAGTCAGTGGAAGTGAAAGTTCTGCTTTGCACTTGAGGAGTGGTTCCCCACTCCTTGCGCGGCATGGCTCTGGGTCAGTTGCAGCACTTGGAGAAGATCTTCGTGACATCTGGGTGGTTGGGCAAGCAGTGTGATGCTCGTCCAAAGAAACGAGGCAACTGTTTGTGGGAGCAGGACTTGTGCAGAGCAAAGCTTTAACTATCTTTCATGTTCTTTGAGAACATAGCCTTTTGGCGTTCTGCTTGATGTGTCTTTCGGTATGGAACTCCAGTAGGTCCTTTCGGTTGAGTAACTAGTGGTCATGTTTTGTTGTTCAACTATGAGCTTCTGTCCGGAAGAACCTTCACCGTTTTTGCCGAATGTGAGCTGGTAAGGATGCCTTCAATGCAGAGAACGCAGAAGCGATATCGGAGAGAAAGCAGTTCCAACAAGCTCCGAACCTGTATGCGCTGGACACCTTTGTGGTGACTCCTATGTCAAGACCTGGATGGTGTGCAGCACGATTTCAGGACTGGAAGCAAACTATCCCTTGGGCACGTGTGAAGCTTGGCTGCAAAAGGGCTTTGCGTTGTCCCAGAGCGTGTCTCTAACTAATTGTTGAAATATACGCAATGAATGAAGATGTTGTGTGTGTGTTTTTGACCCAGCAGTTGGCATATAGCTCATGCCGGACCACTATATATGCATATTGGAAACCTTCCCAACCTCCTCAATCCGCTCCACTTGTGCAGCTTATCTTGTTGTCTTCGGAGCTCCCAACCTCCGGCCGTCGACCCCTCAGGGAGTCTTCCTTCTCGGAGCTGCTGAATCCACATGGCCTCCAAGTGCATGTCTTCGTGTCGCATTTTTGGGGACACCTCTACAGCAACTGGGCGCCAAACCCTACCCCACCTCCGTTTCGGTTCGGTGGGCCAGGGGTGGGTGGTTGCCAGGCGTTGTCAGGGGGGTCGAATACTACTCGAACCTGAGGGTATGGTTGGAGCCAGACTTTGCTTAAAGTGAGACTATAGACTGACTTGGAATGCGTCGACATAGTGAATTCTCAGGGGGACAGCTGAAGAATGGTGATTAGCTGGACTTGGCTTCAAGGGAGACTGACCTGGAATGAGGACTGGGAGAGAGAGAGAGAGAGAGAGGTGAAGAGCTGGAGACATGACTGACTCATCAGGCTGATCAGTGTGGGTGTAGCACAGAACTTAACTTGATGACTGGAGCCCATAGCTTCTTGGTTTTTCCACACATCCCACTGCAACAGGCAGCACCTTGCTGGCACTTCGTTTGTGGGCAGCGAATCATTTCCGTGAGTACGCTCAGCAGCCGCAGTCGGTGGTATATTGGATTTGTCTCTTGGTGGCACAGACCAAGTCCAAGCAAACCGTG